CTAATAACATTTTCGAGATAATAACAAAAATTTCTCTAAAATTGCCAAATTAGACATTGACATTATTTTAGCTTGTTTCGCTCAATTTAGTCTTTTTTTTTGAAACAAAAACTCATTTATTTTGCAAGATTTTGTCAAAAAACGTCTAAAAATCACAAAAACAAATTAGACCGATTTTTAAGTAAAAATTAGTTAAAATCAAGCAAAAAAAACAGAAAATTTAATCAAAAATAATGTTATTTTTTATTTTTCAAACTTCCAAGCATGTGTTTCAAAWGACATGTCAAGTTTTTTTACAAGATTTTTTCTAAAATAAAGCAAAAAGTCCCCACATTATGTCAAAAATTATATATTGTTTGTTTTTTTCGAATGTTTTAGCACATTTTTAAGTTAAAAGCGCAATGATTTCGCATATTTCGTTAAAAGCAGCCAAAATTTAACCAAAATTTTGACTTTATTTAAGTGATTAAGCACGTTTTTGGGATAAAAGCAGATTTTCGAATTTTTTTTTTAAATTAACAAAATAATTACAAATTAAATTATTTATTTGTTTTTGAACTAAAGACTCATTGATTTTGCAAAAATCACAAAAACAAATCAAAAAAATGGTCATTTTTTGTTTCACTCGATTTAACTGGTTATGGAAATAGTCACAAAATCTCTGGTTTCTAGTCAAACAAACCATAAAAATCAACGTATTAAGTTGAAAATTATATAATTTCCAGCTTTTTTGAGTAATTTAGGAAATTTTTCAGCTGGAAACGCAAGTGTTTTTCTAAATTTCGTTAAAAACAAAACAAAAATTTACCAAATTAGGCCACAAATTGTGTCATTTTTGCTTTTTTCTGGAAATTAAGCATGTTTTTAAGATAAAAAACCCTTTTTTTTAAAAAATCTTTAAAAAAAACACCGTTTTTGTGGAGTCGTCAGAAAAACAACAATAATAAAAATTACTGAAATATTCTAAGAAGCTGTGTTCAGGCATCGCAAGATGTCGCCTCGCATCACTTATCAGAAATTGAACCTGACCTAGACCACACTCCCAAATAATAACAAATATTTGTTTAAAGATAGAACAAATGGAAAATTCTGTCGCGCTTAATTCGCACAATCTCTTCCGAGAAGGAATTCGATTTTTTTCCGTTGCTAAAATTAAACCGGACTTGAAAATATTCGCAAGTAACGATCATCGACTTATTATTGAAATTAATCAGATCGAAATAATTCTCGGAATGAATCTTTCACTTTAGAAAAATTCGGTCGCGTGATCGAGGCCTCGTATTTAAAAAGCATTGAAGTAAGAAATGACGGTGAAGCTGCACACATGCATACAAGTATGAAACAACGTGTAATTTGTTTTCTTGGAAGATTTCAAATGCCAAACGGAATTAAAAGCGCTTCCAAGAACAGCATTCAATTTATTTGTTACGAAATCTTAAGCCAATATGAATGCAAACGACTTGAAGTTAATATCCACTCCGGTGGTTTTGTTTCCGATATGAYACGGCTTCTCACAGTGWAATGAGGCCAGTGTTGCCAGCTCAAAACTATTAAATTCACCAAATCTGAGCTGAAAAGTCACCAGATTACAAGATTTAAATWTTTTAYTACTTCGAAGATTCACGTTGTTTTTAATAAATCTGCTCAAAAACGGGCTTAAACGTTCGAAAAATTCAAAAATACGTAACGCTAGTTCATTTAGTCTAATTCTATAATTTTTTGGCTAGTTTTTAATTAAATTTTGCGAAATACCCGGTGACAAAAAATCTATTTTATTATTAKATTTTAAATTTGACACCAAATCATTTACAGTCACCCGATATGCCAAAACACTTGATAAAGGCAAAAATAATGACTTTATTTGATGTTTTTTTTTGTTTTGTTTTAGCAAAATCTTGCAATTAAAACCATTTTGGGACATATTTTGTATTTTTCGTTCAAAATTTTACTCAAAATCGAATGAAACAAACGAAATAACATCAATTTAGATTTRTTTTGTTGTGTTTAAGCATCTTTTGACAATATGCTGCAAAATAAATAAGTGTCTCTGGTTCAAAAACAAACTAAATCAAGCGAAACTAGCTAAAATAATTTAATTTATAACTTTTTTTGTTAATTAAATTTTATTTTGCTTTTATCTCAAAAACGTGCTTCACTCAAAAAGTCAAAAATAATACAAATTTTAGCCTAATTTGGTTATCTTTTGACTGGTTTTAAACAAAATTACGATCATTGCCTTTTTGACTTAAAAAAGCGCTAAAACACTTGAAAAAAATAAACAATATATGATTTTCGACCTTTGGGGACTTTTTGCTTTATTTTAAAGAAATCTTGTAAAGCCTGACATGTCATTTGAAAAATATGCTTGGAAGTTTGAAAAATTGAAAATAACATTATTTTAACTAAATTTTGTTTTTTTGCTTGATTTTGAATAACTTTTACTCAAAAATCTGTCAAATCGAGGAAACAAACGATTTGTTTTTGCGATTTTTAGTCGTTTTTTGACAAAATCTTGCAAAATAAATGAGTTTTTGGTTAAAAAAAAAAACTAAATTGAGCGAAACAAGCTAAAATAATGTCAATAACGATCTAATTTGGAATTTTTTTTAGACAATTTTAAAGAAATTTGGTGTTAAAATATGTTTTTATCTTAAAAACGCTCTTAGTCATTCTAAAAGGACAAAAATAATACTATATTTAACCTAATTTGATAAACTTTCAGCTGAAAAAAGGGCTAAAACACTCGAAAAATGCTAAAATTATTAGATTTTTTTATTTAATGTGCAATTTRGTTGGTTTGTTTTAGAAAAATCTTACAAAGAACGTAAGATTTTAGTTGGAAAACGTGTTTACAAGTTTAAAAAAAGTAGTTTTCGATCAAATTTTCCGATTTTTCTGCTTGTTTTTAATTACTTTTTACTGAAAAACTAGTTAAATTAAGTGAAACAAAGAAAATATTATGAATTGTGATTTGTTTTTCTGATTTTTAGGAGTGTTTTGACAAGTGCCTCCAAAATAAATTATTAGTTTTAGAGCCAATTATAGAAAAATTTTTCAGAAAAATTGTTTTCATTTAATTTTTAGTAAATTTTCTGTTTGTTCTTAAAGAATTTTTGCAAAATAAATACGTTTCTGAGCGAAAAACATGTTGTTTTCAAGAAAGAGAAAAATTATATTATTTTAGTATTAATTTGGTAATTTTTTGATTTGTTTTAGTAAAATATTGCAAAAAAGAGGCTTTAAAATAAAAACATGCTTGAGAAAGTTATAAATAACACTATTTTTGATCAATTTTTAGTTTTTTTTTGATTAATTTTTGCTCAAAAATCAATTACATCGAGTGAAACAGACAAACTATCATCAATTTTTGACAAAATCTTGCAAGTCTTTGGTTTAAACGAACTAAATCGAGCGAATCAAGCTAAAATAATATCAGCTTTATCAACATTTAAAAAAAAAAATTTAAAAATCAGTTTTCATTTGAAAAACGTGCAAAAAGCAAAAATAACACAAAAAGAGCTAAATCGAATGAAACAAACGAAATAACATCAATTTGGATTTATTTTTGTTGTGTTTAAGCATCTTTTGATAATTTCCTG